AACGATTTATCGACAATCCAAACGGCCTTCTTCTGTTTGAAGTCAAACGGAAATAGCTACTACTAATATTTATATATATGTAATATTTTGAAATCGTCTCAGAATGTGCGCTGATAGTAACCAAACAATAAAAGCGGCGCTATGATCATTTCTCAGCTTTAGGAAACGGATAGATTTAAATATTCAAGAATTGAAACAAATTTTCTAAAAGCGTCACTAGGTCGCTAGTGTACAACTGTAGAGCTGAACTGCGGCTTCCAGGAGATCCGAGTGCACTTAGGTAATGCATTCCCGTTGAGTGCTACATCAGTACCTATCATATGGGAGAACATTTTATTGAAGTTGTTTGTATGGATATAAAACTTGTTCCAATTTTCATTACATCACCAATATTGAAATAAAGAAAGATAGGGTTATGGAATTGTTTACATTTTTTTTCCGGTGCAAAGCGACAATCGTCATCATGATCAGCCTGTAGCAGTCCACTGCTTGATATAGGCTTCTCCAATTACACGCCACTAAATACTATCCTCGGTTTCTCTCGTCCAACTCCTGCCAGCCACCCTGCATAGATCGTCACTACAACGAGCATGAGGGTGTCGTGCACTACGTTTATCAATTCAAGAACACATTTACCTAGCTGGCCATATTAGCCGGAGAACCGATAACCATTGGGTTATACGTGTTCTTGAAAAGTGACGATGGGGAGTATAAATAAAATTTCAATTTACTTTGGACTTTAATTCACTCCCTCAATAGGAGCTTTTAAGTTGTAGTGACTATAAATTCTGATAATGATTTATCATCAGGTTTTTTTAAATTAAGTAACATTCTAATTTCAAGGGTGAAGGTGAACTTGTTCCCGGTAGCTTCGGGAATGGCCTCGAACACCCTGTACATGATATCTTTGGACAAACTCGTCTAATTAAAAAAATGTATTCTGCTTAAAACGATGCTTCTCTTTTATGATCATCTTTTTTGCCGCCTGCGATGCTCACTTTCGTGCACCTTTGGGAGTTACCTCTCGCAGGATATTCTAGTTTCTAGCTTAAGTACAGCTTCATCATCAAATGTCGTTGTATAGTAAAGTTATAATAAAATTATATCACTCATAATCACAACGTTTATGTATTTGCTTTTGATTTCTACAATTTCTAACACAAGTTGATCATCTTATGGGGACGCCATTAGCGTAATTATTACTATATCAACTAAACTAAATTGTACTTCATATTTTTATGAAAACGTAAACTTTAAACCGAAGTGCTTAAGCTTTCGAAAAGCTGAGCCATTAAGTATGGATAAAGAGTAACTTTTAAACGCAAAATTCACCTTCGTTTATGTATTGTTGACTTGAATTTAAAGAGTTTTGCAACTGTCTCCAAATTCTGTCAAAGATTTAAATTTCTTAAGTTTTCAGTAATAGTAAGGTTCATTACGAAATTAACTTCTGTTTCAGTCGAGTGATGTCAATGACCGATGAACTGGGATGACGGGTCGATGAAATAATGATATACATATAACTAGATTTTCTTTACGAACGGTATGCCCATAGCTGCTGATCTTATACTTAGTAAATCATTTATTTTTTATTTTTTTATTGCTTAAATGGGTGGAAGAGCTCACAGCCCACCTGTCGTTAAGTTTACATAGATATCTACAACGTAAATGTGCCACCCACCTTGAGATATAAGTTCTAAGATCTCAGTATAGTTACAACGGCTGCCCCATCCTTCCAACCGAAACGCATTACTACTTCACGGCAGCAATAGGCAGGGTGGTGGTATCTACCCGGGCGGACTCACAATAGGTCCTACCACCAGTAATACCGTCAAATTATTGATAATACCACACGATAAATAAGAAAATAAGCGATGGCTGTCTCCTTAGCATTGTCAGAATAATTAACCTCATATTTTATTGATATAGATGAGTCGAGGTGTCCACCAATTGGTTGTAACTCGTTCCAAATCCATTACAACGCTCTCACCGCTTAAATTGGTAAGTGAGGTTAACATTACAATTATTGATTTATGCGCATGAATACTCTGCATGACTGCGTCAATAAGCAGGAGGGTATTTAGAAACACCAACATACCACAACTATAATGGCTGAATATAGCAATAGCGTCACATTTGGATACGTACGGATATTAACAGATTTTGAGTACGCCCAGTCTACGCCAATTTTAGTATTTTTTATTTACTGCTTAGATGAGTCAACAAGCTCACGGCCCACTTAGTGTTAAGTGGTTACCGGAGCCCATAGACATCTACCACGTAAATGCCGCCACCCACCTTGAGACATGAGTTATAAGATCTCACTTTTAACAGTAAAACGGTTGCGCCACCTTTTAAACCGAAACGCATTACTGCTTCACGGCAGAAATAGGCAGGGCGTTCGTACCTACCCGTGCGGACTCACAAGACGTCCTACAACCGGTATATTTTTCTCATAGCTGTAAATCTAATCATACTCTACGGCACAGAACACAAACTTCATTATTCGAACATTATAATAACATCGGCATGTATGCAATGAATTCAAAGAACTCATATACAAAATCCCATATGAATGGAAATCAGCACGCAACTATATTTCCATACGTGAATCAAAATATATTTAAAATTCATACAACTATGTTGTGTTATATTGAAGTAAATTTTTAAAAAGAGAAATTATAAAAGTCCGACTAATATACCTTCAGATAATACGAGGTACTACTGGTACTAATTTACTGGTAGGTAAATTAATTACTTGTGAGTCCGTACGAGTAGGTACTACCGCACTGCCTATTTCTGCCGTGAAGCAATAATGCGCTTCGGTTTGAAGGGCGGGGCAGCCGTTGTAACTATACTGAGAACTTAGAACTCATGTCTCAAGGTGGGTAGCGGCATTTACGTCATAAATGTCTATGGGCTCTGTTAACCACTTAACACTAAGTGGACCATGAACACGTCCATCTAAGCAATAAAATAAATAAAAACAAAGGTGAATTGTGAGCTCGACCCCCATTGAGAGGAATCAAAAAATTCATACTTTATTCTCTAGAATTTGACTTTTTAGGTAGTAAGGTACTCTGAACCCACACGAGTTTTAAATAGTTTCTGCCTATTTTAACTACAAAGTGTAATTCTCTAGATCTATGTTCGTAAGACAGGGGGACCGTCTATCTATATCGTATATAGATCTACCCCAATAACAAGCTACTTCTTATTAAGACAGGCGTGATAAATTCGAAAAAACTCCATAATGGAACCTCCATTTCCGAAAGCAATTCTCCTTATAAATTGATTTCCGCCAACAGAACGACATCGCTTTTTCATAAAACGACGTCTTTAATTGACAGTTACAAGCCGAAGGATGTCGGGCTGTGTCGGGGGCTGTGCGGGACTGTGGCGGACTGTGTGAGACTGTGACGGCCTGCCAATCCATCACCTCACTAACTAACGAAGAATTGAGTCGTTTCGTTGGTCCAGTCCGGATTCTATTCGAAGTCACTATTTTTAACTTATTGAAATGTTGAATTGGATATTCAATATTTTTCCTTATTAATTGTTATCTGTATATTTAACGATGATAATCATCAATTTGGCTTTTTGATTTTAAGCGATTACTGGAGCTTATAGACAGCCTGAATGCGACAGCTAAACGAATTAAATCGGACCTCCTTTATCTAAACGTCAATTTAAATCAAAATGTTACACAGCCTACTAAACCAAGCTAAACTTTTCTTCCATTTTACGGGTATCGAAAAGATAATACAAGAATAAGAACAACTAATCCCGACGTGGAATCGAAGCCGAACCCTGTACTACAGAAATCAGTCACTCACCACTCAACCATGTCATGAAGGCAAAAAAATCAATCAACAACTTTTACTGATTCACTCTTATCTACAAGACATTAAATCGTAGAAAAGCTTCAGAAACCAATAACAGATTACTTTTTTAATGGAGCTTAATCATATTTTATGGACTCTCAACACGTAAAGCTGTAGTTAACCTAATAACAATGATTCTTACGGACGTTTACCAATTTTATGACCAAAGTATACTTTTATCAATAAAAATTAATGTAACAGTGCATACAGACCCACATGGGCTGGTACCGCATTCCTAACTGTTTCTTTTACAGAAATATAATATAATACTGACAATTTTAGAGGCAAGATATTCGAGAAAGTCAGCTATAAGCTAGATTGACGATAAGATAACCACTTGACGATTTAAAAACAAAACACTATACAAATTATTTGACAAATGCCTGAATCTTGCTAACGATATCTTCAAGGTGGGTTTGCATATAATAATATGCAAGTTCCGGACAATAATATCGTCAGTCCAACGAGCAATTTCTCCCGCTCGGTGGAAGATCTTCTGTTTGTTGTACACTCTCAACCAAGTACTAAGAAAAATAAAATAAAAGAACCTACTAGTTAGAAGCAAAGGGTGAAAAGCTACAGATTTTAAATTAATTTTTGCATTTTTAATATATAGCTACATAACTAATATACATATGTATCTGCAAACCAACAACTATGCAAAGAAAATAATGAATATTCTTACACAGAGAGAAAAATAAATTATAATAGGCAAATTTTTATATGCAAAAAATAAAAATGTTTTAATATTTTATACCTAGCTCAACGAGAACAAAACAACGTCGTTAACTTATTTCGTAATAAGGTTAATGAAATAAAAAATAAAATGAACTACATTGAAATATACAAAACCATTCGGTGGGCAAGCAAACCGTAGGCAGCGGCTTGGCTCTGCCCCTGGCATTGCTGAAATCCATGGGCGACGGTAACCACTCACGATTAAGTGGGCCGTATGCTCGTCGGCCTTCAAGGGCCAACAAAAAGAAAAAAAAACATTGTACGAATTCACTAATAAATTAAATTTCTAAAATTTTCAAACGAACCGATTTCAAAATACATCCTTGTCAATCACAATTTAATATGGCAAATTAAAAAGCAATTCAAACTAATACTCACGGACAAATATGTTTGACATGAGCGTCGCGGGCAGACAGAACACGATGACCAGGATATCAGCAACCGCCAAGTTCACGATGAAAAAATTGGTGACAGTTCTCATACGCGGCGACCGATACACCACAGCAATCACGAAGCAGTTCCCGACCAGTCCCACGAGAAACACCAGCAGATACGCCGCGCAATACACCGCGGTCATCGCCCCACTGTGACGGTACATGAACTCATCGCCACCGAAATCAGATCTATTTAATGTCCCGTTCATCCGCGATGGATAGTGCCTCTCCTCCAAGTCCATGTGAGAGGACAGCGGCTCCATATCAGGCAGCACACTGTTCTCCACAAAACGCGTATTGAATGCGTCTATAATGGAATTTGACAGCATATCTGCGACATGGTTCTTGTGACTCTCTCGCAAATGAGAGTGGTTGTGGCGAGTGTGGTGGCGCTCGTTATTGGGATTCTGTGTCGAGAAATTTAAGAAATCATCTGTGTAATAGTCTACCGGGAGCCTTAACGGAGCCATTTTCATACAAACACCTCACGTGACACATGAAAAGTTAGATTAAAAACGGACGAAACGTAATCATTTAAGTTCAAAGTTCCGAGTGGCTATTGCGGGTGCTCGTAGCGGGTCTACGTGCGCACTACGCGGCGATCGTACGCCGTCTGGCTCGTAGTGCCGCTACGGCGTAGGCCTGCCGTCTCGACGCATGTGCATTTTGGACGAGATGCCCAAAATTACTCGTGCATTTCCGGGCACTTTTATGCTCTACAGAATAAAGTTTCGAATTGCTGAAATAACTTTAGCTGAACATTGACGAACGAAACTCTAAGGTCACCGAATGCAATTCGACCGATAAAGCTTGACAGCCAAATTATTTGAGTATATACAATATCTAAGCTCTCCATTTTCAATTTACTTTGAAAAAGTTTGATTATTTTCAAATAATATAGTGACTTTCATATGTAAATAAGATCTTGGAGTTTTCACATAGTGTGTATATTAGAAAGCCCATTCAATTTTAGTTTTTCATCTTACGCAGATTTTGAAGAGTAATCTCACTGTGACCGTTCTAGTTCTTCGGTCATTGAACTATGTAGTTCAATTTTTATTTTTCAAAACTTCAAAGTTATTTTGTACTATTACTAAAGAGGTGTTGAATTAAGTAAGTTTAGATTCGCTAAATATTTACTAGGCTTTGTGGAGAACCGGCGTTGGTTAAAGTGTTATACTACCATACAAACTATTTAGAAACAAAATTATTAAGAGTATTTGAATGGCTTCTTCTAAAGGTTAAAAATAAATCAAGCCTGGGCTCAAGACACAGGGGAGGGTCCACATAAATCTACAGCTTCACTGCATACATGTAGAATTATTTAGGCATCCACCTATTATTTTAAAGGCGGGTGGTGTTTGCGTTTTCATAATCTCTGATAAGGGCTTAACGCGAGATGTACCGTGAGTCCTTCGAATTATCAAAAACACAAAAAATTATAATAGCAACAATTTTTTTTGACGTATTTTAGTATTTCTATTTATTTCAAAAAAACTAATAACATATATATCTAATATATAGTTACGTATTCTTGAACAACACTATAGTACAAATAGAATCGACGAAGCAGATTCTGTAGTCCACTCTTATTTTGATGATACGAATAAATACTTTTTTTATCAAATAATTAAACAAAAAACATATAAACTATAATGCATGGGGGTTGGGATATAGGCGAGCCATTTTAAAGTTCAAATTAATTCACGTGTGATGTTTATGTGTATATATCCAGGGTCGTAGATAATACACATAAATTTTCCACGGTCACCAGACGAGCTGTGAACTTATTCAAAAAAATAAACCGTAATATGAACAACACTAAAATGAAATTTTTTTGGAGCATGTGCCTCGATCCCACGTAATGCAATAAAATCGTAATTCATTCCGTAATTTGTTTCATCTAATAAACAACATGACTCGACAGCTTTCATAAACTTATAACAAACAATCAGACGTGCTTTGCGATTTCATTGTAAAGACCTTTTTTTTTTATTGCTTAGATGGGTGGACGAGCTCACAGCCCACCTGGTGTTAAGTGGTTACTGGAGCCCATAGACATCTACAATGTAAATGCGCCACCCACCTTGAGATACAAGTTCTAAGGTCTCAATATAGTTACAACGGCTACCCCACCCTTCAAACCGAAACGCATTACTGCTTCACGGCAGAAATAGGCGGGGTGGTGGTACCTACCCGTGCAGACTCACAAGAGGTCCTACCACCAGTAGACCTGCAGACACGCGCCTCAAAGAATAACATTGTGCAAATGAGAAACAGCTATTCGCCAATACTTTTCGGGCTCAGAGGTTGATTTTTCAAAAACGTATTGAAACCTTAATGTAAACCTTACCTAGCGCTGGGATTCATGCCGTCTATAGCATAAAGAGGCTTTTTCTGCAGAATTCGTCATAGGCTTACAACGGCTGGCTCACCCATCAAACCGAAACGAATTACTACTTCACGGCAGAAATCGACAGAGTGGTGGTACCTACCCGTGCGGACTCACAACAGATCCTGCTACTAGTAATACCGGCATCATAACTCCAACAGCAAATTCCCGTAAGTTTTTTTTTATAGCTTAGATGTGTGGACGAGCTCACAGCCCACCTGGTGTTAAGTGGTTACTGGAGCCCATAGACATCTACAATGTAAATGCGCCACCCACCTTGAGATACAAGTTCTAAGGTCTCAATATAGTTACAACGGCTACCCCACCCTTCAAACCGAAACGCATTACTGCTTCACGGCAGAAATAGGCGGGGTGGTGGTATCTACCCGTGCAGACTCACAAGAGGTCCTACCACCAGTAGACCTGCAGACACGCGCCTCAAAGAATAACATTGTGCAAATGAGAAACAGCTATTCGCCAATACCTTTCGGACTCAGGGGTTGATTTTTCAAAAACGTATTGAAACCTTAATGTAAACCTTACCTAGCGCTGGGATTCATGCCGTCTATAGCATAAAGAGGCTTTTTCTGCAGAATTCGTCATAGGTTTACAACGGCTGCCTCACCCATCAAGCCGGAAAGAATTACTACTTCACGGCAGAAATAGACAGAGTTATGGTACCTACCCGTACGGACTCACAAGAGGTCCTACGACCAGTAATACCGGCATAATAACTCCAACAGAAAATTCCCGTAATTTGTAGTGTATTCAATAGAAAATACCATTTTAATACAGAAGTAAGTCTATACTGTCCAGTCGACCTAGACTAGCGTCTCCGCATATTTGCCGGTGGGCATCGTAAAGGGCAACTGAAGAATTCACCGGAAAATATGCAGCAGTGATTTTCCTGCATTGATACCATGGATACGCTGGGATTGATACCACTATCCTATATCTACCGTAAAGCAGTCACATGTTCCGGTCAGAAGGGTGGTACTGCCGTTGTATAATGTAATTAAGACTTCAACGTCATGTCCCGATACGAATCGGTGCATCTACCTTATAATACCTGTGAGGTCCAATAATCACTTAAGACAAATGAGACCGACCCTTTCACACACCTAGGCAGTAAATATTTTTAGTAAAAAATACTAACTTAAATAAGTGAATAAAACATTATGACTTCAATCACTAGTTTGGACATTGCGTTATGTGTGACCACCATTGCTTTAAGTACGTATACGCCCCGTGAAAATATAATGAAACAGTAAAATAATAGTTAAAATCAGTTTGTTCCCTTCGGGCATCAAACCTAAAACCGCACGTCGCAAACTATTCCAGCAAACGATAACATTGTCGACTCCATTAAACTGAGATGTTCATTAAACAAACGATCCTCGAGAGTGTCTCGTAAAAATGTTTACAGCCACCGGAATACAATCAATAATCTGAGGAACGAGACATAACAAGAATTGAAATCACACAGATGTATCATACACTAGAATTAACTTAAAATCAACTGTAATGAACAAACAGCTATGCGTCACATTAAATATTTTTGCAATAGCTATGGGTGCCTTTAGTAGACGCCAAATTCTGTGGTCTACAACGAGATTTCTACCGTACTCAGCGTGACTTAAGTTCGAAATCTCTGCAATATGAAAATCAGAAAACCAAAACTTGGAACTGATTTATTTCCTAAGGAAATAAGTATGGCCTATATACCTGTACTTATAGATATAGATACCTATAGATACGTACTTGTATGAGCTGAGATAACACCATTACTGCAGGCCATTCGTTCTATTAACGGCTTGAGACGTAACCATGAACTTGGTCAAGGGGCACAGATGTCACGTACAAACCTGTGCGTGCTTAGTGCGAGAGACTATTTCATTGATTTAGTTTCTACGACGTGCTTACGTTGAAAAAATACGAACATCCGAACATTGACACCATCTTTTTGACTGTAAATAGGCTTCTTACAAGTAATTATACTCTTTGTAGTAGATGAAATATTTTTTTTTTTTTTTTCAAAAATACAATTGGCTTATTACAAATACTAAGCAATGACAATTATCATCATCGGAGGCAGTTCTTCAATTTATCGCTTTCAAACCCGTTCAATGACTGGCTTAAGAAGATAAGAACAACCAAATATCTAATATTGGCCTTTGCGCTCATTACCATAGATGACGTATACATACTAATTTTGATGATTCTTACGTGAATGCTGATGCTCCTCATGGTCCCATTTAAAAATGTGACCAGCAGTTTTCTTCTTATTTAATTTATTTAATACTTCGACTGCATTGATGGAATTCTCATTTTATTTGCTTGAAGTCGGTTTCCTTTTTTTATTATATTTTTCTATTCACTAACTCCTATAGTAGTTCTAGGTAATTGATATAATTTGAAAGAGTCGTCAAGTGCACTAAATCAAACTATGATATGTGAATCCGCTAGATATCCAATATTTAACCGCACTATACTTCTATTGCTTTATCACTTCAAATCTTGAACAAGCAAACTGTCCATCTGGTGTCATGTGTTTTCTTCAGTTATCCTGAGTCGTAATCAAAATTCAAACTACTTTTACGGCTTAAACTTGCTTTTTTATTGTCAATACTTTACTGTTTTTCGTGATCAATAAAATTGTAAATTTTTAATGTCCGAAATAATATGATGACTTAGTTTTAATTACGTCGTTAATGGAGTACTTGCAGTTACCTGGTGTTAAGAAGTACAGAGTGGTCACTTCCAGTTCGATTCTGCGTTTTTAACTCTATGAAAAGTTATAAATTCTTCATACTTTCAAACACTTCTTACTTAAGTGCACTTTCGATTGAGTACATAAAAACATAAACTATAAACACAAGAATGCGGCATGACATTAATGCTAGATGTAAATTAACTGCATTGTACACAATGTACTTACTTTACTTTAAACAGCGTATTTACTTAATTAAAACTCACTGACGATTAATTGCTTCGTAATCATTCACTGTTGTTGTTATTGTAATATTTTGTGGCCGCCATAGATGTATGCCTGTATAAAAAAGTTTTACCAAAATTTACAGGACGGTTAACTAGAAATTAGACAGAAAGTCGTCGTGGCCTAAAGGATAAGACGTCCGGTGCATTCGTATGTAGCGATGCACCGGTGTTCGAATCCCGCAGGCGGGTACCAATTTTTCTAA